ATTTCTCAATGGGTGGCACTGTAACTCTCCGATCTGTCTTTTTTTTTTTGGGGGGGGGGGGGGGGGAGAGACTATAGATCTGCAGCTACTAACATGACCACTAACAAGTGTGAAATTAAAATTGAACCGTAAACATTGTTGTTTGAATCTCTAGCATTGGTTTTAAAAAAAATAAACACAAATTTAGCAATCTCCTTTCATTTCTGGACATCATGAAAAGAGCAGATTTTCATGCTTTACAGAAATGAGAAAGTTTGTATCCTGTTTCCATGGCAACCGAGGTTATAATTCAAAATTACTTCCAAATTTCACAATCAATCACACATTTGTTTAAAATTATGATAGAAAAAATCCAAATCTGTAACTACGAATTGCCAACCAATTTTGATAATTACGGAGAATTGGTCTTAAAATGCATACGTACAGAGACTTTAGAGAATAACTTTAGCTCCTTGTTATGTATAATTTTATTAACGTTGTAAGCTCAGTAATATTGCTATGCGTTAATAAAGATCAAAAACTACTATTGTTAAAGTTCAACACTATATTTTAATAGTTACCAAGTAAACATTTCTAGACGAAAATAATCAAATCTGTGAATGAGTGCATGTCAAATGTGAATTTATTTTCTTTGTTGCTATGGGGAACTTTCTGTTGCTATGGTGATTAGTATTTGCAAAATATTCCTGAATTCATAATGAGGTCTCAGAAATATGTTTTTACTTTAAAAATTGATTTTGGTATCCACCGATAAGATTTAATTCCATAAATAACTCGCATATTTGACAATTTGTCTCTTTCTCTTAATCAAAACATCCATTTTTGTTGCTAGGCAACCGAATGTAAATATTAAAAAACACACGTTTTTGAATTTAAATTCCAAAAAGGATATTCCTCTGCCTTTATGTAAAATTTACCATACTCTTGTATTGTGCCAGAAGTTTGAGATATATGGCCTTGAAAATTGCCCAAATTAACAAAAATGCTGAATCAGCAAAAAATGCAAAACATGCATATCTTCCATTGCCCGTAAGGGAAATATCTTAAAATAAAAATTCTATGTATTACATGGTTTTATCACTTGAAATGTTTATCTTTATGATAACGTTATTTAAGAACCCCTCTGGTAATATTCACATTCAATTTCAAGCCTCTAAGTTTAGTGATTTATTTGTCCATCCACATTGAAAATTGACCGGTTGCTAGGGAAAATTTCTTTGGCCATGTTTCCATAGTAACCAGGACCCAAAATAATTTTCATTTTACATACATGGTTAATAGTGTAAGAGAAACCTATGTGTGTAAAATCATCCAATTCTGAGAACCCTCATGATTCACCTTTTGTCTGATTCTTACAGAGACCTGTACTTAACACAAGCGCTTTCTGGATTTCATTATCCGTCTTCAGGTGTACATAAATTGAACTGATTGTTTTGCTTAGTAACGTTAACTATGACGTCATGACGTCATGAGAGTCTTTGCAGGGAAGGAAGTAATCTATGACGTCATAGTATGGTTACGTTACGCAAAGGTTAGGGAAAATCAAATTGGACAATAATGGACAATAAATCACATATTTCTCAGTCTCAATAAACAAAGCAAACAGAAATTCTAATTGATGATATATAAATTAGGTAATTTCTCAATGTTAATGTTCGTTCAGTTTTGGTGAAAAAAGATTTATGAAGTAGTTTTCTTTTGCTAATCTCATCGCAGTGGAATCGTTCCTAAGTTTATAAAAGGGGAACACACAGTAGTTTCCTTGTGAGCAAATATCAAAATGTTCACTACATGGCGTGTTTCTGAGGCTCGGATTGTTAATTTGTTGGCGATGTACGCGCATGCGGGCGGTTAATTGGGTCCCGGTCTGGCCGATGTATTCCTCTCCGCAGTTGTTACACGTAATACAATAAAGGAGGTTTTTGCTCTTGCAGGTCATATTTTCATTCACAAGAAATGTTTTTCCACACTTGAAAATAATAGAGGATCCTGTTCGTAGGTTAGGACAGGTACCGCATCTCCGATCACCGCATCTTGTTACGGAATATTGTTCTGGAGTGGTGTTGAATTTAGCTCTGGTCAATAGTCTTTTTAAATTTGGCGGTTGTCTTTGGCTGCGAATCAAATCCGATATTGGTATAAGTTGATGAAGATCATTATCCCGTTCAATGATGGTAAAAATTTTTCTTGCCTCTTGAAATATATTAATGTGTTTCGGATTGAATGTTGTTACAAAAGGGATTAAGAATAGATCTTTGTCCTTTTTTCTGGTTGTTCTTAAAATATGCTGCGGAATTTTCTTGGATTCTTCTATGGCAGAAAGGATAAGATTTTCTGGATAATGTTGTGCTAGAAGAAATGTTCTTATTATAAAAGAGGGAAGAAAAATCATAACGGATCTCTATTACAAGAGCACAGACTCCCATCAATATTTGATTTTCAACTCATGCCATCCCTCCCATACTAAACGAAACATCCCATTCAATATGGCCAGGCGAATTTGTACTATTGTTATTGATGAGGATCGCAGAAATACAAGACTGTGTGAACTAAGAATTTTTCTTTCTAGACAAAAATATCCATCAAAATTAATTGAGGCTGCTATACAAAAGGCAAAGGAAATACCCATTAACGAATTACGTACTATTAGACATCACGAAGAGGAGAGCAACGATAAGATCCCTTTTGTTCTAACCCACAACCCAAGAAAACACAACATCTTTAAAACCGCCAAACAATTTTTCCCTATTATTCAACAATCAGAAACGTTAAGGGACCTTATTAAACCAAAGGATATACTACACAGCAGGCGTCAACCTCCCAATTTGAAAAAGATTCTTACCACTGCCAAATTTACATCGAACCCAGAAAAACCGATGGTTTCTAAGTGCGAGGATCCACGATGCGGAACCTGTCAAGTTTTAAAAACCGGCCAAACTATTATTTTTAAAAACGGAATGAAGTTTGACGTTAAATCTTCGATGACGTGTAAATCTAAAAACCTTATATACTGTATGACGTGTCCTTCATGTGAGAAAAATTATATAGGACAAACCGGAACCAAATTAGCCGACCGTGTTCGCGTGCACAAACAACAGATTAAGGATCCGACCATACGAAACACGCCATGTAGTGAACACTTTGATTCTTGTGGCAAAGGACATTTTTATATATTTCCTTTTTACAAAATAAAAGAGGAAAATGAACAATTACGGAAAGCCAAAGAACAATATTTTATAAATCTGTTTAAACCAAAATTGAACTGTTAAAAGGAATTTATATCAAATTATTTTATTATGTACATTTTATATAAAATGTCTCCATTACTGTACATTTATAATAGGCGATTAACTTTGATCAGATGAACTATTACGTCACAATCATTATGTTTAACGTTGCCTACACAACGTCACGAGAATGACGTCATAATGTAACTTGTTTACAATTTCAAATCTACTGATGAGCCCGCATGGGGCGAAAGCGCTTTAGATAAAAGTTTGAGTTTATCATTTGAATTTGGATTTTATATATATATATATATATATATATATATATATATATATATATATATATATATATATATATATATATATATATATATATATATATATATATATATATATATATATATATATATATATATATATATATATATATATATATATATATATATATATATATATATATATATATATATATGTACATGTACTGTTTAACCATAAATAATAACATATGTTTGATATCTGCTAGCTTAACTTTTTTGAAATGCAAAATTGAAGGCTGCTTTTATACAGGCATTTTTAAGCACAATGAAAAACAATCTCAACTCTGAATAAATCAGATTCATCACGTGCACAGACCTTAATAACCAAATAATACAAAACAGAACAAAAAATGTCTTTCCTAGGGTCAATGAACAAATCAAGTTGAATAAAAACACCCAACAGATTTAGAACTTTAAACATTTTAAAATGTTCCTCTCCATAATAAAACGCAGAAAACCTGCATGCGTGTAATTCAATATTGTTTAGAGCATTTGCTCATGTTTGAGATCATAACAGCGTGCTTACAAACTACTTCGTGTTTACAAAATAGAAAAAAAGGTTAGTATTCTTCGTTAGCGTGTCCTTAAAATATTTTGAAGAAAAAACAATTTTCAAAACCATGCCAGTTTTGAAAATTTAATTGTAATTTTAACACTCTCAACAACCTAACTCAGTTTGAATTAACTTAGCTGTACAGAATTCCAAACAAAAGGAGTCCAGGATAGGGAGTAATCCTCAAGTCAATGTTCAAATCCATCCGGGACATGAAAACTGATCCTTCGGATAAGATTGTGTATTCCAAGGTCCAATGTCGCTGTAGGGGTTTGCATATAAAAGGTTCTTCAATGTCAAAGGCTCTAAGTGTCGTGTGCAGATCTACTTTTGTGCGCCTTTCGAGGAAGTGATGGTATATCTCAGTATGTGTGAAATATTCAAAAAATGAACGTTAAAAAACATACAATCAATCAAAAAAGACCCTCCAAAATAAATCTATAACCGGGGCCATCTTTAAATAAATGATAGTCATTGCTTTTTATCTACTCGGGCTAATTTTGGGTCGGTAGGTAGGTGGAAACATATTTTTTCCAAAAAATTTTATTTGTGGACAGGACGCTAGGAATAAAAATGTGTCCTGGAATGTGAAAAAAGTTTTAGTCGGGTCATTTGAAAACAGTCGATCGAGAGAGGGCAACCAAACACTTTTTTTAAGATAACCGGGTAGACAAAGGATTTACGGCACATGACATTCATGAAAATACTTCCCGAATAGACTGAAATATTTTATCCCGAATTAGATTTTATTGGACGAACCTCTATCGATTGTTTTATTTACAGTTCTAAATAAAAGAAGATATAAAAAAACATTTCAGTGTATTTTATCCATACCTGTATGAATTGACAGGAAAAGTTTATATATGCAGGATCATTAATAATAATATTTTTTTTTATTTACAGGTCAAATTTACATTCTACAAGAAATCGTGCAATCTGACGAGTAAAACATGAATCGTTACCATTCCCTTCTGAGTGTTTCTTTGTACTTATTCCTTCATATCGTGGTTCAAGGATACTGGAAAAGTCCAGAAGACGGTCCAACATGCAAGGTAAACACGTGCAGAGAAAATGATCCTGTTTGCGAATGTTCCCTAACAATAGAACACAGACTGACTATGATGTCATTGAAAGATCCTATAATGCTCGTGCCTTCCAAAGGCAGGCTTCGGCGATATGATAACATTTCCTATCTACCTGATTCAGTGGTTGCTGACGTTATTACGACAGATGGCTATCAGTCCCGGCTTGTCATCGCTATTAACGATAGGTTTCCAGGACCAACCATAGAAGCTTTTGAAGGTCAAAGAATGATAATCCATGTAAGAAATCTAATGCATACTGATTCAACAACTGTACACTGGCATGGTATGCATCAACGAGGCACCCCGCATTCAGATGGTGTTGCCTTCATAAGTCAATGTCCAATTTTGCCAGGACATATGTTTACTTATAAATTCACAGCCAGTCCCCACGGGAGCAGCTTTTACCATGCACATATTGGAGACCAGCGTAGTATGGGATTATACGGAGGACTGATTATTTACCCAAGACACAAATTTTATCCACAACCACAAATTGGCTTCACGGTTCTTCTACAGGACTGGAACCACAATGATCAACCGGAATCATTATATCAGCGTATGCTTAATGGTGTGTACAAGTTTAATGGTATGGCACCAATATTAGTAAGTACCACTCAGTCTGTGGACGGTGCTAATTTCAGTCGATTTCATTTCCAATCTGGGCTCATAAATGGCAAAGGGAGGTTCTGGTTCTGGTCACAGGCACAGAATACCATGGACCATAATGGTGCCCCGCTTGAAGTTTTTAAGGTCAAACCACAGCAAACGTACAGATTCCGAGTAATAAATGCTGCTACGCTTTATCCTTTCCGTGTTTTTGTACAAGATCATCCAGAACTTACAGTCGTGGCATCTGACGGTTTTGAAATTGTCAAAGGAACTGGAAAGGATAGTCAAGCAATCGTCGTTGAATCATTCATTATTCATCCTGGGGAGAGGTATGATTTTTTCCTGTACACAGGAAAGGCCATAAACTCATATTTGTTGGTAGCTGAAAGCATAGAAGTAATACCTGTCCTTTATGATTATCATGCTGCAGAAGCAATTATTCAATATGAAGGCTCATCAACGTCCTATATTTCATTTAGAGCTAATAATCAAGAATACTGTACCAGTATGAAACCGTGTATAACATTCAATTGTCCCTACAAATACTACCCATCCAATCTAAATAGACAATGCCTTACTTACGATGAAGCTAATAGTAATGAACCAAACTCGACTAGTGACGAAGTAGCTACTGTTTCGGAGACATTGTTTTTCAATTTTGCTTTTCCTGGCGAGCCGGGAAATACCCCCGGATCAGTTAATGGACATGCGTTTGTACCTCCTCTAGCCCCAATACTCACAGAGCCAAGTAATAATCTGCGAACTGTCTGCAATACCTCACTTTGCCAATTTGATTCAATTTGTGCTTGCACATATTCCGTCAATCTTGAATTTGGAAAGGTGTATCAATTTGTTCTTACAAACATTGGCAGTGGGCGCGGATGGTCTCATCCAGTTCATCTTCATGGTCATTATTTCTTTGTCTACAAAATGGGATTCGGTGAATACAATGAAAATACGGCGAAATTTATATCTGAAACAGATGACATTGAATGCGAGAAATCTAACACAACTAATTATTGCAATTCTGCTAAATGGCGGAATGAAACATGGAATAGTTACATACCAGGCTCTAAAACCAGCTACCCTCCAGAGAAGGACACAATAATAATTCCAACAGGTGGATACGTGGTTATTCGATTTAAAGCGAATAACCCTGGCGCCTGGTTCTTCCATTGTCATATTGATCTTCATAATACCAATGGCATGGGAATGGTTCTACTCGAGTCGCCTTCTAGGTATCCTCAAACTCCTGATCGGTTCCAAAAATGTGGGGACTACAGTCAAAATGGAAATCCATCCAACGGATCACGCTATTTGATGAGTAAATATAATTATTTTAGTATTATTATCTTAATACTAAATTATTATAATTATCTTATTGGGCAAATTTCGAAAAAGAATTATTAATATTCAGACATTTTCACAGAGTTTGTAAGTATATGGTTTAAGTTATCTTCTTTCAAATCTGTGTTATGTTCTTTTGATGCTCTATAGTTTATTAATTTTTCAAGAATACGTATAATATTCGGGAGCGTTGATGGTGGATAATAGGAGGAGGAATGATAAAACAATTATTCGCTGTTTAATTTCCAGATAAACTCTTCCTGTTGTTTGCTATGCTTGGTGGTTTTTGGTGCAAGATGCTGATCCAGAATAGCGGATAAAAATCAAACAAAGAAGAAGAATGTCTGATCTTAAACTTTTTTTTAAACTGTACGTTAAATAATTTAACGTTGATTATTCAACACTTTTATGTTGTTTACTTTTGAGGTGTTATTTTTGTAGACTATTTTTAAAGATTAAACTTGATTACTTGCGATATAATTATAGTTTTCATTGTTGAATATTTTGCAGTAAATGTATTATATGTTTTATTGTACCCCATGTACCAATATTTTGGTTTGGGAGAATAAATTCAACTTGAACTTGAGCAGATATGGACAATTAATATTTTCATTTAAATATTTGTCTACTGTGTAAATATAATTTTTCATTGTTTAATATATTTTGTAAAGTTTTGACTTGTTTGTTTTTAATAAATAACAATAATATAATTCAAAAAAGAGGTTTTTAATTCTAATTATGTATCTTTCAAGCAAAGGCAAAACCATGTTTACAATAAAGACTATAAAGAAGAAAGGTGAACATTCTGAGTGAAATGCTTATATTTACATTCGAGGTAATTTTCTTTATGAAATCCATTAGAAATCCCCGACGTTCAAATTTCTATAACACACGCGAAACCTTGTCACCGCGCGTTAGAATACACAGTAGGAACTACATGCATTTTCAATATTTAGGAACAACAAAATGCATATTGTTTTGACTCAATTTCATTTAAAAAAAACTACCTTTTTAAAATGAAAATAAAATCACAACAAATGTGCATTAAAATTTAATTTGTCATTTTTTTTCCTCGCAATGTTTATTTGCGTTATTTAACTTTCCAATGTCACAAACGGCTTTTCAACGTCACGAACGGCTATTACGTTTATTAAGCACACCAATACCGAAGGGCGCTAAATTCAGATTAAACATGAACGAAATAAACAATTATGATAAAGGAAAATTAGAGAATTTAAATATAAGCATTGAATTCGTATTTTGGGATGTCTTCGGTCCTATAACACACCTGGCTATGCCGACAAATTATCATACCGCGAAATATTCAATTTGTCGGCACGGCCAGGTGTGTTATAGGACCGAAGACATCCCAAAATATGAATTCAATGCTTAAATATTTACATTCAGTGTAGTTTTCTTTATGAAATCCATTAGAAGTTCACGACGTTCAAATTTCTATTACACACGCGAAACCTTGTCACCGCGCGTTAGAATACACAGTAGGAACTACATGCATTTTCAAAATTCAGGAACAACAAAATGTATATTGTTCTGACTCAAATTCATTTTTAAAAAAAACTACCCTTTTAAAATTAACATAAAATACAACAAATGTGCATTACAAATTAATTTGTCATTTTTTCCTCGCAATGTTTATTTGCCTTATTTAACTTTCCAACGTCACAAACGGTTTTGCAACGTCACGAACGGCTATTACGTTTATTAAGCACACCAATTAATACCGAAGGGCGCTAAATTCACAATAAACATGAACGAAATAAAGAATTATGATAAAGGAAAATTAGAGAGTGTAAATATAGGCATTGAATTCATATTTTGGGGTGTCTTTGGTCATATAACACACCTGGCCGTGCCGACAAATTATCATACCGCGCTAACGCGCGGTATTCAGTTTGTCGGCACGGTCAGGTGTGTTATAGGACCAAAGACATCCCAAAATATGAATTCAATGCTTAAATAACACGCGAAACCTTGCCACAGCGCGGTAGAATACACAGTAGGAACTACATGCATTTTTCAATATTTAGGAATACCAAAATGTATATTGTTTTGAATCAATTTCATTTTTTAAAAAAATACTCTTTTAAATTTAATATAAAATACAGCAAATGTGCATTAAAAACTAATGCCATTTTATTTCCTCGCAATGTTTATTTGCGTTATTAAACTTTCCAACGTCACAAAAGGCTTTTCAATTAACGTCACGAACGGCTATTCCATTTATTAAGCACACCAATACCGAAGGGCGCTAAATTCACATTAAACAAGAATTTGGAAATAAACATTTATGATAAAGGAAAATTAGAGAATATGCTTAAATAGTGCGTCGTTTAGGTAAAAGAAAAACATTCATCCAACTCCGAAGTATTCACATCAATTTGCAAAAACCTAACAAACTTCAAAGTATTCTCATCAACAAAGCCTCGTATACAAAAATTTCACAAAGATTGAAATTGTATGTCTGTGAAATAGCATACTCAATCTAAAGAGGGAAAAATAATAATCTCTTCGTAGTCCAATTTTCTCTTCTAATACATAAAATGGATCTCCATTTTTTTCTTTATTATTTTTTTTTTATATATGTGCAAAAATACACATGAGTAATAAGGAGCAAAGAACCATTTTACATTAAGGTAGTCCAATCCACAGGTTAATAAAATTAACAGTTAAGTAATCAAAAATACTCATAAAAGTATCTCTAAATCCAAAAAATTATGTAAATTTATCCACAGTATATCTTTAAAGTTAATCATATTATATAGAGAAAATTGTTAAATCTCCAATACTTTGCAGAAACATAGGTAATCAAAGATTACGAAGCTCACCTCGATGAATGTTATCAGTTTAAGTAATGCAAATCTCACATCATATTTTCTTAATATTAAGTATTCATATCAACAACAATATTTTTGCAAGTTGTGTGTAACCCCTTACATGGCATATACACATTTCTATGCATGTAGCTTGAAAAACATGTATCATGTAAACAAATATTCATAATTCTAATACTGCAGATATCAATGACTTCAAGTTCATTTGGATTGATCTGTTCCCAAAACTTTATTCTGGTCTCTTGTACGAAAATATAGGTCAGATCCAGCATCCGAAGCAAGTCTGATAGTGTCCATCCTTAGATGCATCATCCATGCAAGTTTGGTTTAGCTAGGGCTTATAGTTACTTGGGAATGAAAATGTAGGTCAGATCAAGCATTCGAAGCAAGTCTGGTAGTGCCCATCCCTAGATACATCATCCATGCAAGTTTGGTTTAGCTAGGGCTTATAGTTACTTGGGAATGAAAATGTAGGTCAGATCCAGCATCCGAAGCAAGTCTGGTAGTGTCCATCCTAAGATGCATCATCCATGCAAGTTTGGTTTAGCTAGGGCTTATAGTTACTTGGGAATGAAAATGTAGGTCAGATCCAGCATCCGAAGCAAGTCTGGTAGTGTCCATCCCTAGATATATCATCCATGCAAGTTGGATTTAGCTAGGGCTTATAGTTACTTGGGAATGAAAATGTAGGTCAGATCCAGCATCCAAAGCAAGTCTGATAGTGTCCATCCTCAGATGCATCATCCATGCAAGTTAGGTCCAAATAGAGCTTATAGTTACTTGGGAATGAAAATGTAGGTCAGATCCAGCATCCGAAGCAAGTCTGGTAGTGTCCATCCCTAGATGCATCATCCATGCAAGTTTGGTCCAAATAGGGCTTATAGTTCCTGTAGAATGGACCTGCTCCAAAAACTTTAACCTGGTCACTCATCTGGAAAATGTAGGTCAGATCCAGCATCCGAAGCAAGTTTTGTAGTGTCCTTTCCTAGATGCATCATCCATGCAAGTTTGGTCCACGTAGGGCTTATAGTTCCTTGGGAATAGACCTGCTCCAAAAGCTTTAACCTGGTCACTCATCTGGAAAATGTAGGTCAGATCCAGCATCCGAAGTAAGTCTGGTAGTGTTCATCCCTAGATGCATCACCCATGCAAGTTTGGTCCGGGTAGGGCTTATAATTCCTTGGGAATGAACCTGCTCGAAAAACTTTAACCTGCTCCAAATACTTTAACCAGGTCACTCATCTAGAAAATGTAGGTCAGATCCAGTATCCGAAGCAAGTCTGATAGTGTACATCCCTAGATACATCATCCATGCAAATTTGGTCCCAGTAGGGCTTACAGTTCCTTGGGAATGGACCTGCTCTAAAAACTTAACCTGCTCCAAAAACGTTAACCTGGTCACTCATCTAGAAAATATAGGTCAGATCCAGCATCCGAAGCAAGTCTGGTAGTGTACATCCCTAGATGCATCATCCATGCAAGTTTGGTTCAGGTAGGGCTTATAGTTACTTGGGAATGGACTTGCTCCTAAAACTTTAACCTGGGACGCCAACGCCGACACCGACACCGACACCGCGACGCCAATGCCAGGGGTATATCATAAGCTCATCTCGACTTCGTCGAGGTGAGCTAAAAAGCGAATTGGAATATCTGCAATGCATTTTCTAATTGCAAATTGATCAACAAATATATTTTAGGTTAAAAAACGATAGGTATTCACGCATTTAGAGAAAATGTCATGATTTTAATACTTATATGGTATATTTTGTCTTCCATTTCCGTCATTATTCTACAATTTACAGTGTAAAAGACTCGCTATCATTGCAAGACACCACAAATCACTTCTTATTTCATATCATGCTTATAAACATTGGTATCTAAGGATGGATTCAAGAAAATCTTATTTTTCTAAAACTGTATTAATTTTTTTTCCTTTTATAGGGTACAAATGTCAACTTTTATATGACCTTTTCTAAGACTTCCAAAACCCTCGAATCTTAAAAAGATGAATAAAATAAAAATTGTTGCGAGAAAAAACTTCACTTTCCAGCTTCATTTTGATGCATTTCATATTAAATATTATTTTTGGAGTTATCCTTCCTGGCTGAGGATCGGATATCCTAAAAGGAGACTATTTTACTTAAAATACACATTCATTATGTTCCCCAAACGAAGTTGGGGAACATATTGTTTTTACTTTGTTTCTTATTATGTTGCCCCGAACGAAGTCGGGGACGACATATTGATATTGTACGCATGTTTTTTTTTTATCCAGGCTGTTTCTCGGAGATGGCTGGGACTGGGACAATCTTCCTGAAACTTTCCTCAAAGGACGATCGCTGGTTGTAGTTGTGCAGTGAGGTCGTTCAGTTCCAATATGTCTACCGTTGCCATGGAAACCTGTAAAAAGCGACGAATTTTGTCCGCGAGTGTTCTCTCTGGTCCCTTAAACGTTCGTCATGAAACTTTTTTTTATTTTAATGATTAGTATCTGTAGTTGTGCGATTTGCATTTAAAATTTTCAAATAATCGATTATTGCCATGGAAACCAGAGGAATGTTAAAATTTTTAATTTCGATTTTCTCAATAACTACTCAAGCAATCGTTTTGAAACTTTCAATGTTAATTTCTTGCAATGTGTCAAAGTGATTTCTACTTTTAAAATAATTGTTATGAGTCGCTCACAGTTGTCATAGAAACGAAACAGAAAAAAGGTTAAGATGTACACATGTGTTCTCCAAGGTCTAGGTCAAAGGGTCAAAGTTCTTCGTGTCCAATAAAAGTTCTTTTCACAAGGATTACATATT